AAATATAAATCACCTGTTCCAGCTGGAGAGCTGAGAGGCCAGTGCGGAGGAAGTTCCCAAACTCTAAGCCCCAGGAGCATTATTCATAAATTTTGACTTCCATCAGGGGAATGACAACACATAGCAGGGTGTGGGGCAAGTGGAAAGCTCCATTCAGTAAGGGTGAGACTGAATAGAATTGTGATTTTAAAAAAAAGCAAGATGGGGGTGTCTTGTGTTGGGCCAGGGCCTGTGATGACAGGCAGAGGAACCATGCCAAGAAACAGGCTCCTTACTCTGGAAAGAAAGCAAAATATCCAAGCCACCAAGACATAGAGTTCTTTTAGTAGCTCTGAACTGCAGGAGAAACAGGGAGCACTTGGTGAAGTCAGTCTCACTTTAGAAAGAGCTTTAAAAGGTTAAGGTAAACAGCTTGAGTAGAACAGTGTATAAAATAAAATACTACATTTCTTTTCCTAAATGCCCGAGGTGGAACCCAGAGCCTCATACTCTAGCTATACCTCCTAACCAACCACATCTTGATTTCTTTGTTAAAAATGCTTCTGACCTCCATGCAGAGCTCTCTACTGCCCAGGTCCCACCTTGGCTGACACTACATCCCTATTCCTTCACAAAAAGTGACATCTATTCCTCCTTTCTCTCCAATTATCTACCCACCCTCCTCAAGCCTTTGCTCATTCCAAGCCTTACCCTCCAAACATGCCAAGATTGCATTCTATATTTTTAAGTATCGCACATTTAACATTCATGGTTTCAAATGAAGAATTTGATGTGCTGCTTTAAGCAAGCAAGTAACAGCCAAGAGAATTCATTATACAGTTATATCGGCTTTGTAAGTGTAGATCGAATTTCTGAGGAGCTAGCAAGTTCACAGGCACACAGGTAATTTTATTTTGGTCTATATAGCTTATGATCTAACACCCACACACACACACATACACACACACATCTCTCTGTATTCTTGAAACTTTCTTATCGTTTTCAAATAAATGAAACTAGGAGGAAAACTAATTTATATATGGGAAAAATAATTTGGTGTTTGAACCATTCAAGCACATGTGAGCAGAATCACAAAAGCAAGCTGAACTAAAAAGCAGCCATGCATGGCTCATTCCAAACTTCCAACATAGGCAGTAACACCCTGGTACATGAATTAAACCTGGACTTCTTTACACATTTGTGATGCTGACATTTCTCTTCTAGGCTAAAGCTACATGCATGAAGCACACCTGGACTTCTGTTTTACACATGTTTGTGTTGCTGCCATTTCCCTTCTAGACTAAAAATGTTTAAGTCAAAGAATACAGTGTTGCTGATATCCTCACCTAATATTGCCAGGGCATTTTCTAACTGGCAAAATGGAGTTAAATCTTAATGTTTTGTTTCTTTTAGCATTAGTAGCTACCTGATGAAATGAAACACACACACACACACACACACACACACACACACACACACACACACACTGAGGCAGGGGGCTTTTGACGTGAATCCAGGCGGTGCTCAAGTGATGTCACAATGATGTTTCAGTGTTAAGAGTAACTGACACTGACTTAAAATTAAGCATGACACTCCAAAGGCAAGCTTGGAAAACATCTCTGCTCTCTTCACCTGTCCAAAGAGATTCCCCCGAAGAATTTGCTGAAGCTCTGGAATGGGTTCTAAGAGCACCAGGCTGAGGGGGAGGGGAGAAGAGACATCACTCCAGTCTGGAGATGGGGACCAGGACGGAATTACAGCTTGTAAAATAAGCCTCCATCAGTCTCCCAGGAGACAGCCAGCTTCTACTTGGGTGTTCCCTGCTTGTTAGCCTCAGTCATAATTGGTCTTTCCTCCCATCCCACGTTGTTGGTTTTCTGTGTGTGGCTTTTGGTGTGAGCGTGTTAGGTCATCAACAAACACAATGGGAGGAGGGAGTGAGGGAGACACACATTATTGTTTTAAAGAAGAAAAGAAAAGGGATAAGAGAGTGGGCAGGAAGGCTGTGAACAGAATGGGGAAGATCCCCCAGGATTTAGGCTTCCGAGGCGACCCCTGGAGTGACAGAGAGTATGAGAGTTTTGTCAAAAAGAGCTCAGACCCACTAGGAGCTGGAGCCCAACTGAGCTCCCTCAGGGACGTGTCAGTTCCTTATTATTTCTCTTTGCTCTCATATGGAGGTGCCTAACCATATCTGGCATTTCTCGTTAATTTTATTTGCTTATTTTTTTTTTTTTTTTAGTCTAATCTGGTATTTCTTCTTGGAAAGGCAGGGCAAGTGGAGACCAAAAAGCAAGCAGAAGCTCCCGGGTGGGTCAGACACAAAGGGCCCTCCACCTTTCTCCTTCCACATATGATCTTTTCCTCCACATCCCACCCTCCGCCGCCCCCCCCCCCGCAAATGAAAACCTCACCTGGGGAGAAAGGGTGTTAAAAAAAATACATTATTTGAAGTCTCCTTTAAGACCACTGCGGAGATAGATGTTTTCTCAGTCCAGGAATGGTAGAGACACGGCTCTTAGTTTTTGCTCAAGAGAGGGGATAGATAAAGTCCTGAAATTTTGACATCTTTCTGTCAAAAATAAAACAACAAAACTCTACTAAACACAGGAAGGAACTGGCCAGAAGGGCAACTAAATCGTGTGGCAAGCTTTTGGTGGTCTTCCTCCTTGCTATGGTGCTGTAGCCAGGGCCTTAGCATCACTGTCTTGACCCAAGAGAAGACACCTCAAGTGTGAACCCTTGTTCTTTTGCCTTAGTAGAGAATCCCGACTGGAATTAAGACTACTAGGTGTTTATTTTGTTTGTTTGTTTGTTTGTTTTACGGGAGGGGGGTCTGTTCTGTGAGACAGGACTTCAGGCCCGTGTGTGAATCTTAGCCAGTCTTGGGGGTAGCTGGAAGAATGGGGACCATTTCTAGAGTTCCCTTTGTTATATTCAGTATCTTGCCAAGGGTGAAAAGAACCAGTTGGGGTCCCTGCTTTGCACTATCGGGAAGGCCTGCTATAAGGGTCCTTGCTCTCAGGAGTGGGAGCACCCTTAACTTCTACGATGCGTGAAGTGGGGTGGAGGAAAAACAACAAAACCAGACAGTGGTTTCAAGGTATCCCCAGGTGCGTCCTCTGGCGAACGCCTTCCCCTAGGCCCTATTACGCCTTATCTCTCGCTCCCCTCGCCCCACTTTCACATTAAAAGCCCCCAAAGCACTACGGACTACCTTCTCTGTGTAAAGCCGGGAGGAGGAGGGTGATAAAGATCAGGCGTTTAAATTGGCCATTTGAAAGATTACATCTCTTCACCGAGGGTCTTTCTTTCTAAACTCTCACTGGATTGAGGGCCGTGGCTACTCCGCACCGGTTCTCAAAGGCCGAGGCACCTTTTAATTCCGTCGTGGAGTGGGCAGGGCTAGGTGACCCGGCGCCATCAAAGGCTTGAGGGAAGGCCGTGGGGCGACACTCATCTAATGACAAGTAATTGAGGGATTCGAGGCCCGCATTACCAGCGGAATGGGAAGACATTAATTATTTAAAAACGATTAGTGTCGCTTGTGTGTCCTGCAGGCTTTCCGTCTCTTTCCGGGAAAACAACCAGGCACACGAAGCGCAGCCCCAGCTTGGAGCGCTGAGGGGGCGTCCCAGTTGGCCTCCGTTGTCCTAACGTGGGCCTGCAGCCTGGGATGCAAGGGCAGAACCGAATAGTGTGCCTGGATCGCGCACTTTTGTTGATGCCCCAAAGCATGGACGCAGAGGGTCGATTGGACTGTTCCTGCCCACTGGGTTCGCTATCTGCAGATGGCAGTGCAGCGTGTAATAAATTTACAGTTAGGGTGATAGGAAATGTTCTTGCACTATTCATCTAGTGCGTCTCGGAAAACCCAACTGGAAATGGGTGTCTACCAATGCCAGGCATCCAGGCGTTTAAGAGCAAAGAACCTGGGAGAAGGCCAGTTTACGAAAGAATGGAGGGACCAGTAGACCGCCGAGAAGATGTTTTTCTTTTTCTGACCCCCCCGCCCACCCCCATCCCCCGCTGATGGGCATAGAACTCTGAGCTTTACACCCAAGACAATCGTCTATCGCTGAGCCACACCCTTGGCCCAAAAGAGGTCTGTTCTGGACGCTGCCAGTCTAGCATACTGTATTTTCAACAGGCTACAGTTAGGCAAGGTAGTTAGGCAAGGTCGGAACCTTCCCGCAAGCGGAAAGAAGAGCTAGACCCTAGCCTCATCTTCCAAAGTCCTGTTCAACCCCTACACTCTAAAGTGCAACACCCCAGAGCTCTCTCCTTGCCTCAGGCAAGCACGACTGGGCTGTAGTGGGACTGGGATGACAGACGAGACAGACGACCACGCAGCATGCTTTGATTTTCTCTGCAGGGCCCAGGTGACCTAGGTGGCTCTCTGCAGCGTAAAGGCCTGAGCCCCTTCTTGCGGGAAAGAGCTAAAGTGACTCTTCCAGGAAAGGTACTGCCCCCCCCCCCCACACACACACACTGCACCGGTTTGGAGCTGCCCTGGTTTGCGGTGATCTGAGAAGTAGCAGAGAACAGAATTCAGATATGTATGCTCCCTGCACGCTGTGACCTCCGCCTCTCAGGGATTCCCCAGCTTCAGGCACACACTGGCGATACCCAACTCTAGATTCTGAGACCAAGGGCGCCCTCAAATCTTCCCACCTAGCTCTTAGGAAACTAGTAGCTCTCTCCAGCCAGAAGGGCCACAGAGACCAATCCTCATTTTTCATCGCCTCTGGAATCCACCCAGACTAAGAAACTGTTAGGAATTTTAAACTCCTAGGCTTCTCGATCTTCCAAGCCGCGGTGCAGTCTCGAATCTCCCACTTCCCCGCAAAAACACTATTTCCCAACCCCCTAGATCTTCATCAGCTGGATGCACCTCCCAGTCCTTTTAGAGGAACCCGAGCTCGCGACTGACTGGGGGAGGGGAGGCGTGTGGACCCGAGTGGGGGGCGGACTCTGTGCGGGGTGCCCGGGCGTGGCCCCCGAGTGGGCGCGCTCCCTACCTGCGGTGGCCTGCGGGCAGGCGGGCGTCGGAGCGTCCTGCGCTCGGAGGGAGGCGGCGGACTGCTCCCAGCCGAGGCATCCCTGCATTTATTTGAGCTCAAACCGAGCGACTGTTGACTTTAGCACACAAAGCAAAGATTTCACTGCCCGCTAGTTTAAAAATGAATATTTTACCAAGATATCGATCAGCGTTATAAAATTCAGTTAAGTACAATGGGATCCTGGAAAAAAAAAGAATAATAAAGGAGGGGGGAGGCAATATAATATCTGTGCAAATTTGCTGAAGTGTGACGTGGCATGGAAAGTTTACCCTCCTGGAATTCGGATCTAGAATGTTTTTTCGGTTGTTTACTGACTTTGTTTATTCACAGATCACGGTTGCTTAAACCCGCGCTAGGAAGGCGACAGGCAACAGGAAGAAAAGGGGGGGGGCTTTGCACCCTGCAATGTGTAGAGTTGGGGGGGTCTCTGAGCTCCTAAACTTGGAAACTAGGGAAGGGAACTGATGTGGGGAGGGGAGAAGACACCAGAAGGGCAGAAAAGCCTCGAGGGCACAGCTCCCCGACATCCTTTTTATGTATTCCCACAGAACTATATCTTATCGGCAGGGATCAGTGGGGGGGGGGGCGCTAAGTAGTTTAAAACGACCCTCGAACAATGGGCGTGCGATAAGAAACATAGCAGGTTAGGGCAGCGCTTTCAGCCTCTATTGTCCCCCACTCAGTCCCCAGCCCTGCCTCTCCGCTCCTTCGCCACAGGAGCCTTTTATGTGATAATGAAACACATTTCAGGCCGAGCTCGCGACGTGTGTGTCCTGGCCAGGCAAAGAGAAGGCCTGATTGCTGGCCGCGGCCAGCGGGTCCCCCTGCTTCAATTTCTCTTCCTTGTGTTCTTCGGAACAATGTGGCTTGTTAAAAGGGGATTTGGGGGGGGGGGGAGCGCGCGCGCGCACACACACACACACACACGCACGAGCGCGCGCGCACACACACACACACACCACACACACACACACACACACACACACACACACACACACACACAAGCGCAAAGGAAGGCCAGGCCTGGGAAGGAGGGAAAAGGACGAGCAAGGTGTCAGAAAGCTCTCAGAGAGGTGGTCTCTTGGACTAAAGTTCTTGAGGGACAGACTTTCCAGGTTGGAATAGTTCGGAATAGCCAGATGTCAGCTCTGAGCTTCAGCAGAAATTAGAAACACCTCTGATGTCTGCTTGGGTTTTTAGACAACGAAACTTTTTTTTTTTTGCATCCCATGGGAATTGCCCCAAAGTCAGACTGGAGAGAGAGAGAGACCCAAAGTCAGACTGGAGAGAGAGAGAGAGAGAGAGAGAGAGAGAGAGAGAGAGAGAGAGAGAGAGAGAGAGAGAGAGAGAGAGCCGTTTTGCCGTTTCCTACCCTAACCCAGGCAGCTTGCAGTACAGGAGATGCAAGCCAGTGGGAAGAAGTTTGCTTTGCAAAGCCCAATTCTACTAGAGCTAGTTACTTGTCAATGTAACATCTGGAGAGAGGAATAAAATCTGGTAAGATTTTAATTCGGGGAGGGGGGGTCTTTGTATTTCCCCAGAGCCTCACAAAATACCCATTCGGCCCTTGGGCCACATTCCCAGCTTGTCTATCTGAACTTCTGAGCTAAAAGAGAGCTTTGTCAGGGCCACAAGGGTTATCTGGTCAAAGGGCACACCAATCTTGACATATTGGGATCTCACTACTTTTGGAGTCATTCAGCACCCTTTACTCTCTCCATATCCCCCAATATAGCTTTATACAAGGAGATTTGGAGGTAACCCCAAGCTGTGTGGCAAAACCAATTTCAGAACAATATTCAGAATGTTTTCTCCGATGAGGTGGCTTATCCTCTCTAGAGTAGCAAGGCTTTCCAACACCAGGGTAACACTTGTGAGAGGAAAGGGTAAGACAAGCTGGTGTGTGTGTGTGTGTGTGTGTTGGGGGGGTGTCACAGACTGGAGCCACAAGTGATGGTGATCTCTATTCCACAGGAAGGTCAAGGAGCTTGCATGCCAGAAGTGGCTGTGAAGAGCCAAAATGATGCACTAAGAATTTGTAAATTCTGCCTAGGCACACTGAGAAGCTTAAGGGGGAAAAATAAATAAAACTTTATTTAAAGAAAGAAAGAAGAAAGAAAGGAATAAGTACAGTGAACACATGTAAGCTTCTGTCTCTTCCCCTAGCACAGCCAGCCCTACAACACAAGGGCCTCTGCATCAGCACACGTTCCAACAACTCATGGGGAAAATGAAGTTAGGAGCAAGTGTTTTTGCTCCTGGTGTTTACAAATAACAGTAGCAGACTTTAGCTGGGCTTGGTGGCACAGGTCTGTGATCCTAGCACTGGGGAGACAGAGGCAGGAGGATGGTCTTCATAGTAAGTTCCAGGCCAGTCAAGGCTACTTAGGATCTCTGCGCCTTTATACAAATATCGATGTGTTTAAAGATGATGGCACAGTCCATCAGTGACTTACATGCTCTGTCACGTTTAGTAATATTAACCTGAAAATTTCAAAAGTGACTGAACAATTTTGATTTTTTTTTACTGATGTAGTTGCTGCATTATTATTTAGGGATTCTCTCCCATTTGCTCTGAAAAATGCATTTAGGGAGGCAAGATGGGGGTGTGGCCAGGTGAACAAACTTGGGGAATGGGAGACTGGGACTGGCAGTGGTGCTTACAGGAAAATCCATTCAACTTTGATATTTAAATAAAATGTTGGGTAAACAGCAACACTGACCCCACCAACCTCCCCCCCCCCACAAAAAACCCTGCAACAAACTCCCATCTCCCTCCCATTCTCTTGCAGTAATTTATAAATCTGTTTAATTTTTAAGGAGAGAGAAGAGGAGAGGTAGGTAGAAAGAGAGAGAGAGAGAGAGAGAGAGAGAGAGAGAGAGATGCCAGAAGAAAAGGACCCAAGGGGTAAAATCGGCAATAACACTTTAATATAGATTTGTGGGACTCTGGCTGTTCTAGCCAGAACACACATTTATAAGCCATAAATAAAGCACGCAGAAACCATAAATTAAATCAGACTAGAGACCTGGATTTCACCATGTCCAGAATGGGATGCATTATTTTTTCTTTTTCCTGGTCATTTACACCAGACTCTTACATTATTGTTTTTCTCCTTTTAAACATCAGTACAACCCTCTGGTTCTCTGTTAAAACTACATGGTTTTACACCAAGTCATTCACGAAAGTTATTGTTTTAAGTCCGACTTCCCTGCAACATCAACAACAGAGAACGACAACAAAAATCAGAATCTGCAGGTGCCTTGAGGAGGAGGAGTCTACAGGGTGGAAACCAAAGGCTCCTTTAAAAAATGTTTATATATGTATATATGTATATATATTTCCATTCCCTTCCCTATTTAGAATGACAGATCACCGTGGACCATCTATGTAGGGGCACAGGCAGCTGGGTGAGACTGCACTCTTGGGACCTGAAGTGTGTTGGCTACTTCTTCCTCAAAGCTCTAAATTTCCAGGCAGCCTCTCTTTTCTCTGGTCCTTGTCCCGGCGGCCAGAGCTAGCCAGGCCTAAAGCTATCTTCTTAGGAGGAGTTCATAATAGGCCTGGAGTACACTCCCTGGTAGTAGGAGGTGTCTGCAGCCAGGGGTGAGGCATCCAGACCCGCTTTGTTCGTGACTGGGCCCATGGCCAAGCTGCCTGGCATGGGGGAACCATAGCCCCCAGGGTAGTGCATGACTTGTTCATAGGCCTTGAGGTCCATTTTGTGGGGCTGATGGTGGTGGTGGGTGTGGTGGTGCTGCTGCTCGGAGGACATGAGGTTGTTGATAGAGAAGGGGTGGTTGAAGGCGTAATGGTGCTCTGGCTTCAGGTGGGCCTCAGGTGGTAGGCCCGGGTGGTGAGGTGGGCCCAGCAGGTGAGCTGCAGCCTGCTGCTGCCCAGGCGAGGGCGCCGGCTCTGGGGGACTCAGCGCGGAGGCCGGTGTTCCCTTTAGCTCACCCAGGCCGCCTCGCTTGTGCTCCTGACACGGGGAAGAACTCGAATGAGGGGACTCAGTGCCCGCCGGAGTCTCAGAAGCCGAGCCCGTGGCTTCTCCCAGCTGAGCTTGCGAAGCCTGGGTCCCAACGGCTGTCTTCTTGCCTCCGCCACTGCCCGCACCTGAGGCTTCCTTCAGTGCCAGCTGCTTCTCACACTTGAAGCGCTTCTGGCGGCGCAAGTAGCAACCATTCTCAAACATGTTGCCTGAGTCGGGGTGCAGGGTCCAGAAGGAGCCCTTGCCAGGCTTGTCCGGTGAGCGGGGCACCTTGAGAAAGCAGTCGTTGAAGGAGAGTGAGTGACGGATGGAGTTCTGCCAGCGCTGCTGGTTCTGTCGGTAGAAAGGGAAGAGGTCCATGATCCACTGGTAGATCTCGCTCAGGGTCAACATCTTGTTGGGGCTCTGTTGGATGGCCATGGTGATGAGCGAGATGTAGGAATAGGGAGGCTTGGCGTGTGTGTAGCTGCGCCGGTATGTCTTGGGGTCCCGCGCGCGGCTAAGACCAGCCTGCCCATACATTGGGCTCATCGAGTTCATGTTGGCATAGGGAGCAAGGCCACTCATGGGCCCGGCCGCCTGTCCCCCGAGTGGGCTCAGGCTCGGGCTCAGGTGCGGTCCCATGCCAGCCACGCCGGCCGCCCCAGCTGAGCCGCTCATGCCCGCCATGGCGCCTGCGCCCGGAGACATGCCAGCTAGGGACGGGCTCATTCCAGCGCCCACATAGGATGACATGTTCATGGAGCCCGCGCTCATGTTGCTGGAACCGCCGCCCATAGCGGCTGCAGACATGCTCATGTAAGTGTTCATGCCGTTCATCCCCAGGCCAGCGTTCATGTTGCTCACGGAAGAGTAACCCTATGAAGAGAGCCCGGGGAGGAGACAGGTTAGCACCTAGGGTGAGCGTGTCAGACACCCCCTTCCTCCGCCCGAGCCACACACAGACCAGTTGGACCTAGTCCTTCACCTTCGTGGAGGCCTCTGGGGATCGCTTTATTTCTCTGGGCCCCAGCCCACCAAGTCCTGGGCGCCTCAAAGAGAGCAGTACGAAGATCACCCTAGGAGGGGTGGCCAGGGGGCTGCGGTTCTGGGCTTGTGGCTCACTCCCCAACCAGATTCTAGAACGTCAGTGCCCTGGACCACCACCAAGTCAGGAGCCCAAAATGTATTTTACTA